CTCCTCAATAACATGTCTAAAATTTTTTCTTCCAAATTTGGCGCTTCCAGAAAATACTGCTCTCTGCAGAGCTAAACTCTATAAGGATTCCAACACACTGATCTGTGGCCTCCCATTTTCCCAAGTTACCACAACCCGAAGGGCACATAGCAAATTCGAGGCAGGCTGAAATCTGTACCCTGATTTGGCTACTTCCTTGCTGGTAGCTACACTCACCTTCCCAGAGCTAGAGGCCTACCCTTCCTCTGGTAATCTGGAAGTTCCCCTTCCTGCTCTGTGCCACCAAATGCCAAGCAGGTGGTAGGCAGGGTGCTTCAGTGTCTACTCCCCTCCTACAGTTTGACCCCTGCCACACTAACCTTGATTTATCAGGAGAAAGACTTGACGCATCATTTTTGAGCTTGGTCTGTTGTGCTTTTTTTTTTTTTCCTTAATAGAATTCAAGTTAGGTTTTTTCTTAAAAAAAAAAAACCCAAACACACAAAAAAACAACTACTGTGGTGCTGCTTAATCAATTCCGACTCATAGCCATCCTATGTACAACAGAACCAAACCTGGTGTCATCCTGTCTCACCTAAACAATCCTGAGTCCAGTGTTGCAGCCGCAGTGTCAATCTATCTCATTAAGGGTCTTCTTTTGCTTTGCTACTCAGATGGGCACCTTCTGGTAACTGGTCAAAGTATGTGTTATGAGCCTCCCTATTCTCCCTTCTAAGGAGCATTCTGACAATATTTCTTTTTCATTTTAGAGGAAAAATAAATCAATTTATAATATAAACAATAAATTAGGTACTAAGTCAGGATAGCTCACATCTAACTCCTTGTTAATTATATTTACACCTCACTTTACTCCTGCATAGTGTTATAGGCAAGGTGGGGTTTGTGAGAACAACTTTAAGAGAAAGGGACCTGTCAACAAATCATGTTATGAGAAAATAGTAGCCTTTCCTTAAGCACCAATTTATTTTTTTTCCTTCCTAATTTTATTTTTTTTACATTTTATACTGATTTACTTACTGACTATATTTAAGATGGATTTATCCTTTCTTCTGACGGTTCATAGTGTATCCACCAACACTACAAAAATTCAAATACATGAGTTTTTCTTTGGTCTTCCTTATTCACACTCAAGTCTATGGTACACATATTGTTGTTATGTGCGGTGGAATCGCCTGCGACTCATAGTCACCCTGTGTATAACAGCCCTAAGCCCTGCTCTATTCTGTGCCTGTCTGTCTCCAACACACCTACCCCCGTTACCCCATCACTGAATCAATCCATATCATAGAGGGTCTTCCTCTCCTGCGCTGTCCTCCACCCTCCTAAGCATGATGTTCCTCTCCAAGGACTGATCCCTTCTTGCAACATGTCCAAAGTATGTCAGACGAAGCCCCAGAATCCTTGCCTCCAAGGTGCAGCTTGGTTTAATCCTCTCCAGGACTAATCTGTTTGCACTCTTAGCAGTCCATGGCATATTCAATACTCTTCTCCAGCACTACAGCTCAAAGGCATCAGTTCTCCTTCTATCATCCCTAGTAATTGTCCAGCGCTCTGATGCATAGCAAGTAATTGCAAAGACCATGGACAGAATCAGGCACACTTTAGTCTCCAGACTGACATCGTTGCTCTTCAGTACTTTGGAGCGGTCCCTAACAGCAGACTTTCCCAACTCAATACTATCTTTTAATTTCCTGGCTGCTGATTGTGGAGCTAAGCAAACTAAAACTGTTAATCTCAATCTCTTCACCTTCTATGAGGTGGTGTTATAGGAAAACAGCAGAGCATCTGTGGTGCAGGGGTAGAGCACAGGACCCTTCCAAGCAGCGTGACCCGGGGTCCTTTCCCCACTGAGGAGGTGGGCCGACAGAGCCAATTTCATGATGCCAGGCCAACCCACAAGCAAGGGTTCCATTCACGATGGGAGATAAATGGGCGAGCTCCTCTCAGTGTGACTATTGCCTCTGAAAACCCGCTGGAGGGTCAGCTGGGGGTTGGTGCCCACTCGACGGCACACATGTCACGTCTCTTTGGCAAGTTCACAAGTCCCATATCGCACAAGGCAACTTTGGGAACCTGTAATTGAAGGTGGCTCCTGACTCACTCCATGTCAGCCAGGTTCCACAAGAGTGGCAAGGTCCCCGCCCCACCCGCGGGCCGACTCTCCGCCTACGGCCTGTCCGGGCCTGGGTCCCCGCGCTGTGCTCGCCCTCCCGGGCCGGTATGCAGGGCAGCCGCCCGCCAGCCCCGGCGCCAGCCGGCGCGGAGCCCAGGAGGGAACAGAGGGGACACTCGCAACATGCTCGCTTCCCCCCAAACGGCGAACAGAGGCCAGATCTCTCCAGCGCGCCTGCCCGCCTCCTTCCCTCCAGGCAGGAATGAGTTAATGTCTGGCCAGCCTGGGAAAGCTGCAGAGGCCGCGGGGCCAGACCGCCCCTAACGTGCCGCACGCCCGTTAGGGAACCCGCCAGGAAGAAATTAAAGGTGTGAGCGAAGTGCGCAGGCCCGGCGGGCCCTGAGCGCCCCAGAGCTGTGCTGCTTCCTGGTGGGGGCTCCAGGAACCACGCTTGCGGAAGGCGGTGGCGCCCCAGAAGGAGCCGAGCTCGCCCCGAAAGGGGCCGAACCGGTTGGACAGAAAGGGAAGTCTAGAGAGGCAACGCCCCCCCTTGGCACCCCTTCCCCTCTCCAGACTAAGTTACCTCCTGCTCTCTTGTGTTCTCCATGTCAACATGGACACACCTTGCACTCCGCTTGCATACCGAAAACCAGAGCTCCAAGTGAGATTTTATGTCCGCTATTGCTGCCCCTTCCTTCTAAAATGCTATCCACGACTATAAAGTGACCAAAAACACCGGGGAGACACTCACTTCTTCAAATAACCAACCATGTAAAGTCAAAAGAGCAGCATTTGTCTAAGGATAAAGCATTGAAGATGCTCTAAACTGAGCAATTAAATTAAAGCAGATTAGGGAAAAGGATTGGCCATCCACTTCCGAAATAACTGGCTTCCAAAACCCCTACGCAAATACTTGGCTATGCATCAGAAAACTGGACGGTGACCAAAGATGATAGAATTGATGCCTTTGAGCTGTGGTGCTGAACATACACCATGGACTGTCAAGAGAACTAACAAGTCTTTTCTGGAGAGGGTGAAACCAAGTTGCTAAGATTTTGAAGCTCCGTCTCACATACTTGGAGCATGTTACCAGGAGGGATCGGTCCATAGGGAAGGACATCCTGCTTGGAAGGGTGGAGGAACAGCGCAGGAGAGGAAGACTCTGGATGAGATGGACTAACAACTTTAACTGGGATAATGAGGATAAGAGTGTCAGAGACAATAAGAATCCAGAGCTATGTGCATAGGGTTGCAACATATATAACAACCACAATAACAACAACAACAAAGCACTGAAGGCAAGAAAGGGTTGGATAGAAGGATTAATGGAAATGAAAATTACAGGGAAGAAGTGGGGAAATTGGGATTACAGAGTGCGTGTTGCAAAGAATGTTAAAAAACCAAAATGTGTATAAATAGTGTAGTGAAAAATCAATATCCTTTGTAAACTTTCACTCAAATAATTTCACCAAAATAAATAAAAGCAGGAAGTGGAGCCTTGTGCAAGGGGGGAATGCTACTCAACCCTCTAGATTTTTAAGCTCAGAAATTTCTTCCCCAATTTTCTGGCTTCCAGAGGGGCCAAGAGGAATACTTTGGGTGTGTTCCACACCCCTGCTAGGTGCTTCACGTAATGAGAAAACTCATGTCCACAGAGATGAAGTACTTTGCTTTTGATGGCATAGGAGTTTCTCTGAGGCTAAGCTGCTTTTAGTGTCACCCCAGGACTGTCACTCGAATAGACTTTGTATACAAGGCTGAGTTATTGCTGCTGTTAGGTGCCACTGAATCAATGTCAACGAAGAGTGAACCTATCAACAACAGGTCCAAACCTTGTCCTATCGTGTGCCAACCTCATGACCCCTGAAGTGCTTGAGCCCACTGCAACAATCACTGTCAGTCCATCTTGTTGAGGCTTTTCCTCTCTTCTTCTGACCTTTCCCAGCATGATGTCATTTGCTAAGGACTGACTGGCTCCTCCCTTGGGATTGTCATTACAGGTATATAATGTTGTTCAAGGTCTAAATGTGTGAAACAGGACACTGATTTTGACACTGTATAAACACTACATGAGAGAGGAGTGTACGCTGCTTACTGTTTGGGCTGGGACCCAGGCTACTTGTCAAAACCGCTCCAAGAAATGGTGTGAACACCAGCACTGTGACCACTGGTCACTGCCCTGTTTCTGAGAGCCATGCCCATGTTTACCTGCTGGCCCTGGGTTTGCACTTGCTGTGCAGCCTGTCCTCTTCCTGAATCATTAGGCACCTGCCACCTGGGCAGGATACTCAGACTGGAGCCTCTGATGAGCATGGCCCTTGGTGACTCCAGCTGAATCTGAGAGTTTCTTTTCTGAAGATTTTGGTGAGACAAGCAGCCATAGCTGGGGTCCTGGACTCCCCCTCCCTGGGCTGGAGAAGGCACCAAAATCAATACTCAAGATGGAAAAAAAAAATAAGAAAAAAAATGGGTCTTCTCACTTGCCAACAAGCATTTCCAAACTTTAACCTTATGGAACTATGGACACTGTGTAATGGTATGTGATGCATTATCTGTATAGCTGCCTGTCTTGAACCAGAGCCTAGACTCACATGGGAAAACAAGCTGTTTTCTAAACTCACTTCTCCCTTACCTTGAGCTTGTTACACCAGCTTCCTTACAGCTAGGAGGTTCAATTAATGCCTGGCTCTCCTATCAGTTCTCTCCCCAGGTGTAGGTTCTCCAGGATTCTGGCCCACACTTTGGGGAAGGAAGGCTGAGCTTCACTAGCAGGGTCCTGCTGCCTATCATTCTTCTAGAAACTTGTCCTTGGAGCTGACATCTTGTTCTTCCCACTCCTGGAAACCATTCCTGATCTAGAACACACCCTCTCACTCTGGCCTCTTACCTGGCTGGTAGACAGAAGGCCGGATGCTGGCTGTAGTTATCACCCGGGGCTTGGGTGCAGGGGCAGCTGGGACCTCACCGTAGCTGGTGTGGGCAACAGGTGCTGGAGAGGTGGCTGCTGCAGGGCTATAGGCAGAAGCCTGGGGCCTGGAACCAAGGGGGGAAGAGTTAGAAGCTGGAAAGGCTGCTCTACTTTGGCCCTGGGATAGAACCAGTGCTGGGCTGGCTGTCTCCCACATCTTCAGGAGCACCAGCAAGAGCTTCCAGAGGCTATGGAAGAGGCTCAGGGTTTTCATGGGCAGGCTGTTGGGTGGCCATCAATAATGGCTGGAGCAGTAGAAACTTCTAGAAAGGTAGCCTGTTGCTAGTGCTACAACCTTAGGAGAGAGAGGAGGCAAGCCTTATCCTACCGCTCCCATGCTGAAGTGGAATACCAGCCTAAGGCTTCTGTGGGAAGTGCAAAAGCAGAGGAGAGGTCACAGCCAGCCTACCTTCTTACCTCACCAGTACCTCACAGTCTAGGACTACCTGGTTTCCTCCCAGTACCTCACAGCCTAGGACTACCTGGTTTCCCTGCCAGTACCTCAGGCTGGGACTACCTGGTTTTCCTGCCCTGCACCTCACAGCCTGTGACTACCTGGTTACGTCACCAGTACTTCACCTCCTATGACTACCTAGCCTCCTGCCCACTCTATTTTTGCTGGAGATGGTAGTGATGTCTCAGGTTTCTGGGTAGAAATGCTCCAGGAGAGAGATGGTGGGAAGCCACACTTTTCTTCCATAGAAAATTCCTGTTGCCTTCTTCCCATTGTGAAGAGGCTGAGAACAGGTTTTTCCCAAGTATGAAGCATAACACAAACAGATGGGGGAAAAGATGTCCCAATACACAGGCCTCAGGAAATTCAGTCATAGGAACTCCAGGAGTTTAGCAGTTTAACTGCCTGAGCCAATATGTCCTGATTTAATTTTTCCATGAAATCATCTTTTTTCATTTAACAATGGAAAAGATGGTCACCTTACAGAACACAGCCCTAGTCCCTGCATCTTCTGCACCTCTCAGGTCCAGGGAGGACCACACAAGCATGCTCAGAGCAAGCTGGCATTTCAGGGAGTGCTGCCTGCTTGCCTTCCTCCTTTTCCCAGGGGTTCTGAGCCTGCCCATTCCAAGTCATGCTGGGAGAAAAGATGAAGTTCCATTCTGGGACTCTGAGAGGGTGATGGTCCTGGGATAAGAACCCAGCACAGGATTCTGGGATCATCCAGAGATGCTGCTCCAGACCAGCACTGTAGACCTCAGTGGGTATGCAGATCTGCTCTGCCACTGAGTCCCCTCCCTTGGGCTCCCTACTCATAGAGCACTTCTGAGCTACACTGAAATGAGCAGGGGCTTCCTCGGAGGAGGAAGGGATAGTGTCCATGGGAACCTGAGTCTCTGGCTTCCACTAAGAAGGAAGAAGGCCAAGGGCTGATGAATCTTATCCAGACCCAGTGGTGGGTGCTTTTCACCCCGGGAATTATGGTCCTGAGGATCTGTGTTGAGCATCAGAGGAGGTTGAACATCCAGTCAGAATGGTGAACCTGTGCTCCAGAAAACGATTGGGTCTCAGTTTGCTTCCAACTAGCCCCTCTGGGCCAGCCCAGCCCACAAACAAACGGGGGAGGTAGCTGGGCTGTGTTATTCCTGAACTCCTCCGCTTCAATCTGTTGCCCCTTTCTCAGTTCCTCTGAGTCTCTCCCAAGTTGAGCTCTTGCCAAGACAATGGAAGTCCAGGGGGCTCCAGGAACTCTGGGATGGATCCCCAGACACACAGGCTGGGAGCACAGGCCCCAGGGATGAGGCCAGACATCCTTCATCCAAACTGGGGTGGCATATCCCCTGACACTTGACCACAGGGACACTTGAGGGCCCCAGAGAGACATCTGTAAATCTGTTCTTTACCCACCTTAAGTTTCTTCTTTGTGCAGGTAGCAAAGCCCTTATGTGAAGAACTTCTTGTGTGCAGAGGGGAAATAGCTGGCTAAATGCCGTCAGGAAGCTGAATTAGACAACTCCAGAGGCCCAGGGCTTGGCTCAACCCTGAGGTTGGAGTGGGGCTAGGAAAAGGCTGGTGTGGCATCAGGAGGGGTATTGTGGAGCTGAGATGAGAGGCAGCTAGGCCAGCTGGCCACTGTGTACCCCCTGAGGCTACATCACAGACATGCACATCCTGACATAGTGACTGGGAGCCTCTTCAGAAAAAGCTGACATATGATCCCCAGCTCCCCATCAACAACGCCACGAAGTTCAGAACGGGCTGTAAAACTACCCGGAAACTCCACAATGACTCATCTAGACAGCCTCTCTCCTTCAGTGTACCTCCTGGATGCTTTTCCTTGCCCCTTCTTCTTTGCCAGCTGGGAATAAGAAGAAATACTACCTAGCATCCATATACTAAAGGGCCAGATATCTGTATTTGTGGGTTCTGTATCTGTAGATGCAACCAATTTTGGATTGAAAATATTTGGGGAGAAAAAAGGTCACCTAAAAGAGCAATGAATTGACTCTGTGACGTGTAATAGAGGTAGGTGTGTAGGAGATGGTGAGGTTGGCTCAGGATAGGGCAGGGTTCAGAGCTGTTGTACATAGGGTCACTATGAGTTGCAGGCAACTTGATGGAACATAACAACAACAACAACAACAAAATAATTAAGTGGTCAAAGTAATTTCTCAAAACTAAGAGGGATCAGAATGTGCTATTTATTTGCACAGCATTTACATCAAAAGATAAGTAAGCTAGAAAGTTTTTGAGATTGATGTGTAGGTTGTATGCAAATACTATGCCATTGTGTGTAAGGGATTTAAACACCCTCGGATTTTGATTTTCTATGAGGGGTTGGTGGTGGACCTAAAATCAATCTCGCAGGAATGTTGAGAGATAACTGCATTCATTTCTGTCACATCTTATGAGATCAGAGTTACATTAAACATCTTAACTGATGAGAAAACTGAAGCTCAGAAGCAGTCAGTCACTATCTTAAGGTAACAGTAGCAAGTAAGTTGTAGAGATTTAGATTCTAAGGCACCAGGTGCCTCTTTTTTTTTTTTTTTTTTTTTACCAGGTGCCTCTTGAGGTTAGAGGTTTGTAGAGGAGGAGGGGAGTAGAGGAGGAAGGCAGGCTAATGAGTAAACTCTGGCCAAATCAGACATGCCTTCTGTGCACAGTCCAGTGTTTCCTCCTCCAAGCAGTCTCCCTTGGCTTCTTCAGTTCAAAGCATGATATTCAGTCTACCAAACTGAGTTCCAGAAACATTGACTTCCCACAGAAAGCAAAGCACTAAGCATTGAAACATTATCACCTTCTGCTATATTGTGTACGCATAATTTTTCTCTTATGAAGATAGAAATATACTCATCTTTGCTCATGTCCTCATAGGAGACTCCTCTGAAATGCTTGACAGCTGATCCACTCAACCCCAAAACTCTTAATTCTGCGCTTGGCCTTCTTGTGGTCCCAGGGCCCAAATCACCTAGCCCAGCGGAGACAGATGGACCCAGGTTTGGATCTTTCCTGCCTCCCTTCCCCAGCTGTGGCGGGTTACCTTGGACTGTCCGAGAGACTGGAGGCAGAGGCAGTGGCAGCATTGGCAGTGGCCAGGGGAGACAAGGCTACGCTGGGAGAGGCAGCAGTGGGAGGCTGGGCAGAAGCAGGCAGCAGCAGGGTGGTGGCATGGTTGGTGCACACTGGAGCATGCTCAACAGGGGTGCTAACAAGGCGGACCAAAAAAAGAACAGGTCAGGGGACACTGGGTCAGGTGTGTAGAAGGACTACGGGTACTGCAAAAGAACAGGAGCCTTGAGAGGAGGTGTCCTCCTGGGCAGAAGGATCCTTTCACTCTAGGACATGCATGAGAGGGCAGGCCTGGGACCAGATGTAGGGGCAAGCTTCTAAGAAGTGTCATGGCACACAGATAATCTCAATCCTTGAGGTATTCCTTACTACCCAATATTCTGTATTTCCTGCTTTTCCACTCATCAGCAGGTGTTATAAAAGTATAGTAGGATAAGGCAATAGAGTGATTATCAACCCAAGGTGACAGAGTCTGTAGGTAGTTGCACAGCTAACCCAGAGACAGTGCCTCCACAGCAGTTCAAATCTATCCAAGGCTCAAAAAGAGAAGAATGGGTAGTCTCCTCCCATGCAGTTTAGAACCTCCAAAATCCTGCTAGAGGGTCAGTTATGGATCCATTCCTACACGATGGCACTGAATTTGAGGTTGGTTTTTTTTAAAAAATCCACCCAGGTTCTTCCTCCCCCATGATTTCATCTACTTTTTGCTTTCCCTAATTAATGAGGGGGCTGGGCTGTCTTTGGAAAGAAGAGAGACAGAAAGCTAGGCAGAGGTCAGATCCTCAAGCATCAAGGGCTCTGGGGCATGAGGATCTGTGCTTTGAGATCTGCAGGACTCAGGGGAGTGACACATCAGGAGGATGGATCAGGATGTCACAACGTGGTGCAGGACTTCAAGGGTAAAGGCATCTGTGTCTCCCTTACGTGTCATCCCTGGAGAAGCAGCGATACTTATGTGGCAGAAATTTTCTTAGACGTGGCCCTAAGTGCCTGGAATTGGGAATATGAGTGGCGACTGCTCTGCCTGAGCAGACTAGCGTGACCGGCAGACGCCAGCACAGCTAGACTTCCACTGATGGCCAGAGGCCCTCTCTCCAGTCCCCTCAATGCCCTGGCTTTCTAGAAGCTCCTCTTTTCAAAGCGCTACAGGAAGAGAGGAACCCTCAGAACTCGGTCTGACTGGAATGAAATTCCTATCACCTGAAAAACGGGGCAGCAAATAAAAAGGAAGTTATAGAAAAACCAAGAAATGCACATCCTTTGCTTCTTTGGGTGTATGGACTAGGATACTCATGGTGGTCCCATGTGTGAACTCCTGTTTGTAGGGTTCAGAAGTAGATGACCAGGACTTCCCCCAGGTGCCCCTTGGGGAATACAAACCTCCTACCCCTGGGTTACAAGCCAAGCATATTAACCACTTATACAAGCCAGGGAGTCCCTTCTTTTCTATACTGTAATTCACCTATCAATGTCATATTCTATGTGGACACTGTGGACCTCTGTCCAGAACTCCTGTGATGTGGGTACTGTTATCTGATG